CTAGAACTTTGCTCTTAGCTAGGTACCAGTCCAGAGGGCTAAACAGACAGAATCCCCTCCACTTCAAAAATACAGTAATAGAGGTGGATCCTTGTAACGTTGTCCCTGATTGGGGACGCTACTATCTACTTTTACTCACCCCCACTCCATGCCTGGTCATTCTTTCCCCATGCCCAGGTCCTTCCCTAGCCTGGCAGCTGGAGGCAGAGGAGACCGGGCTGTACTTTATTACAGGGAAGGAAAAGACAGATAGCTGGAGAGATGGATCTGCTTAGCGCTCTTGCAGAGGGCCCGAGTTTGGTTCTCATCACTCACACGGTAGCTCACAACCATCTCTAACTCACGCACCAAGAAATCTGATGCCCTCTTCTGACCTTCGCGGGCACCAGGCACACGTGTGGTACATAGACATACATGCAGGCAAAGCACTTATGCACATAAGGTAAATAAATAAAACTTCCTTAGGAAGAAAAGGCAGAGCTAGAGGTCGAGAAAGGCACCCCCATAACCTGGGCTCCACATTCTCGCTAGCCCCTCTTTAGAGGTCATCTTTCTTGGTTCTGGGGCCTGATTGGCTGTCCTAAAGCTGACAGTTACTACCAATACAGCTACAGGGAGGGGTACCCGAAAATGCAGAAGGGACTTTTGTGAGCAGAATAGCAGATTAGGGCAAGGACCTTTTTTTGATTTATTTTTATTTTTTATTTTGAAAGAGTCCCTACATTGCCCTGACGCGCTGTCCTGGAACTATTTATATAGACCAGGTCTTGAACTCACAGAGACCCACCAGCCTCTGCCTCCTAAGTGCTGGGATTAAAGACATGAGCTACCATGCTCAACTTCCCCATGAGAGTTTAAAAGAAGGTCAGTTTCCCGTTTGTGGGGAACCGATTCGGGGGTCATCAATAGTCCATTTCTCCTCACTCAGAAGCTCTTCCTCCATGTCCAATGGTTTGTCGCTCCATGGTCAACACATAGACCCGAGACTCTCCTCCACTCCCCAAGTTCCACGGGTCCCCTTTCACGATGCCTCCCATGGGGAACCAAGGAGCCTCAGGCAAATGGAGAGATTTACCAAGGTAGGGTTTTGAGGTCTGGCAAGGAGCAGAACAAGGAGAAGCCCCAGAAACCTGTTTCTCAGGGGACTGAGATAGGCTGAGCTCCTGACCCGAGTCAGGTCTTTGTTTTGGGCCTCCCTGTGGTCCTATCATTCTTGTCCTGGAGATGGCCTGGTAGCCAGAGGACATGAATATATGATGGTCCCATGTGCTCAGAAAAGCTCTTTGGGGAGCGGGCTTGGTGGCATACACCTTTAATGCTAACACCCAGGAGGTAGAGACAAGTACAATTCTGTGAGTTCCAGGCCAGCCAGGACGACATAGTGAGACCCTGTCTCCAAACAACATTTTCAAAGGCCGAGGGGGTCCTTGCCTGGAGCTGCATGCTGTGGCTAATGTCCTTCACTGTCTGCTTTGCCGCGGACACTCCTGCTGAGGTGGCCACTGCCTGTGCATCAAACTGTAACAGCTTCGGCCACTGCACAACACCATGATTCCCCCAAATCTTTTTCCCACTCCCCTGCGCAAAATCTGTTATCGCTAAGCTTTCTCTACTCTCCAGTCTCAAAAATCTCTTATCGCTAAGACTTTATACTTTGTTTACAAAAAAATAAAAACAACAACAACAACAACAAAAAACCCGGAAAACTAAGACCATTATTTAAACTTTATCTCAGGATTTGTAAGTTCATTGAGTGTGGTTTTTAAAAAAAAAAAGCCTGTAAAATCTGTACCAAAATACTTAACTTAAAACATGTAACAGGTGCTGGAGAGGTGGCTCAGCTGTTAAGAGCACTGGCTGTTCTTCCAGAGGGCCTGGGTTCAATTCGCAGTTTACAACTGTCTTCCAGTTCTAGGGGATCTGATACCTTCACACCAATGCACATAAAATAAAGCTAAGTAAACTGAAAAGAAAAAAAAAGATTCCAACAGAGAGGCTGGAGGCAGTGTGGAAAACATGTAACAAAAAGTATTGGCGGCTCTATCCAGAGGTAATCAATTTGCTACAGAATATTACATATATTATATATATATTATATCTGTAACTTGGATTCAATAAATAAAACTTATTTATAGCATGCTTGAATTATACTTGTAGTCATATATATATGCCAAGCACAAATTAGTTTGTTTAGAGGGACAAGCTTTAGCCTTCTGTATATGTTGTCAAGGTTAAGCCTGAAGCAATGAACTAAAACCAATTAAAGTTTGTTTCAAATCTGGTATAGTTAATAGATTATATGGGGAACCCTCAAACCCCTCAAAGAGATCTGAACATGGTATTTAAGGTGTTTAATGAAAAAGGTCTTCCCTGGCAGACAGAATACTAGCTTCTGGACGCAGCAGCTGGCGCTATCTCCAAAGAACACGAGCAGCAACAGACGCCACCTTGAGCCTGCTTCAAGTGTGGTGACACGTGCCACTGGGCAAAGAACTGTTTCATGCCTCGCCACACTGTGGGATGGATGGCTATCTCTGCCTCATTAAAGCAGGCCAGTTCAAGTTCCTCCCCCATAGAAAAATCTCTCAGATCTTCTTGTCTGGCGGCCGAGAGCTGACGCTGTCCTGTGTGGCAGCCAAAGACTGGTGACCTCTGCCCCCCAACAGAGTCCTCGAGATCTCCACTGAGGATCACAGGCTGGCTGTCCAGATAGTGGGTAAGTCTGTCACTCTTATTCGAGAGGTCACTTGGTTTATACTTCCAACTCAAGTTTATCCCGCCGACCTATGTCCACTTTGCCTTTTCTCTCTGCTCTCTCTTAGTCAGAATAAAAACCTAAGTCATACAATGGACTGGTCACCTCAGCAGTTTTTTTTTTTTTTTGGTTTTTTTTTGGGGGGGGGTCTTTCTTTCTTTCATTTTCTTTCTTTCTTTTTTTTTTTTTCTAGATAGGGTTTTGCTGTAGCTATTCAGCCTGTCCTGGAACTAGATCTTGTAGACCAGGTTGGTCTCGAACTCACAGAGATCCGCCTGTCTCTGTCTTCCAAGAGTGCTGGGATTAAAGGCGTGCACCACCACTGCCCGGTGGCAGTTTTTTCTTTCATTCTTTTTTTTTTTACTGTACCCACTTGCAGTGTCCATGTATGAACACTTACAGTTATGATCAGAGGAACAACATGTATACGTTTGTGTCTAGACATGTGTCCTCACACTGAAATTCTCCACTCATAGTGGGAGGCTGTATGGGGTAGATGTGGACATGGGACACTGAATTCTGAAGACACAAGGAAGCCTGGGTTCCAGAGCTGGGCCTGGCTGACTGAAAGCATCGCAGCTGTACCTAGAAGTCCTTTCTCAGCCCCTCATCCTGATCTCCTAACCCCAAAGCCTACACCTATGCAGCTCAGCCCGAAAGCTCAGTTGCCAGAAAAGGCTGGGGCAATGAGATTTCTTCCTCTTCAGCGTTTGTGGTTCTCTTTGGACTTCTCCTATCAACTGGGGACCAACTGATGACCAGCAACGTCCCTGCTCTCTGCCTCCTCACACACAGCCCGGGTCGTTCGCTGTTCTGTCTTCAGTCAGTACAGACCTAAGGTATGAGGAGGGAGACGCTGGTGAGGACGAGGGCACACTCAACGTTCATACCGGCACTTCCTGGCTTCGCTGTGTCCTCTCTAAGAGGCTTAGGTTACTAACAACGGTGGAGAGCCAGCCAGGGCGGTTCACTCAGGCTTCAGAGCCGCTGAGAAGTGTTCTAGATGGTTCTCCTCAATCAGCCAGGAGGACCTTTAATTGATGAGCTTGTGAAAAGAGGCTGGGAGCAATTTGCACCTGTTCCTGCCTCTGTGTGAAGGAGAAAAGCGAAGAGGGTAATGGGAGAGTCAGACGGATCAAATGAAGTAATCTGTTTCTTTTCTTTGATCTTCTTCGCTTTTGTTTGTTTGTTTGAGACGGGGTTTCTCTATGTAGCCCTGACTGTCCTGGAACTCACTCTATAGACCGGGTTGGTCTCTATAGACCGGGTTGGTCTCGAGCTCAGAGATTCCTGCCTCCTGAGTGGTGGGATTAAAGGCGAACGCCAGTTCAAGAGACAGCTATTATTGCACAACCGTTTGGCTTGGTCGAGATCATTGTCAGTCAATTTCACAAAGCGTGAGTGTCACAGCTGAGTGGACCTGGACTTAGATCCACTTCTGCCGCTTGTTTTGCTGTGTAACCCAGGGCAAGAATTTACCCTCTCTGGGCTTGTTAATCGCGTGTGAAACAAGGCTCCTGGGGTGGTGTTGAAGCTCTAACACCCTTTTCCCCAAATCACAGCCCAAGAAATACTCAAGCGGCCCTCGGGGCCCTGTCAGAACTACTCATGGCTCCCTGCCCATCCCGAGCTGTCATCACCATCCATCACCGTGAGAAAGCAGCATCTTCTTAGGCAGGGACCCAGGGGCCAAGGCTGGAGCAAGGGACAGTGTCTCATAGTTTCTTTGTTGGAAGTAAGGGAAGGCAGTTCTGCCCCAGCCCAGATCTGTTTCTGGGACCTCAATAGCCTCTTGGCTACGGTGGGAGTTGATGGCCCCGCTCTGAGGTGACTTACAGACAGGTCTTCTTGAAGCATAGGAGGAAGGCCTTAGGTATTCTCATTTTCAGTCCTTAGGACAGGAGGGGTTAAAGACCCTAAAGACATGACCAAACAGCCCCCACCTTCCACAGTGACTGTGAGGAATAGCGTGTCTTCCATAGGAAATATAAGTTTGCCGCCCCATGCTACCCCACTCTACCCTAACACACCGGCATTTGGATTCTGGTGTTACCCGGGCAGCCTGTCCCCTTGGAGAATAGGAGCCTGGAAAACCCCCAGGATGAGTGATGTAGCTTTTGTCTGTCTGTCCACATACACCTTCTCTCACGTGTGTGAGAGCTCACGCATTGAGCTCACGTGTGTGCATCAGGCCTGGCTAGGAAATCGAGAAAAGAACTCAGACATCATTCTTCGCGGATAAATTTAAAACACGAGTGTGGCTCATTTTATTTTATCTCAGGAAAAAAAAAACACAAACAAAAACAAAGAAATCAGTCCCTCCAGGAGGAAAGGCAGTAGACAGGGCCTCTGACGGGGCAGCTCTGAGCTTCCCAGGCTCAGGTCCATGGCTTGACAGCTCTAACCTCTCTCTTGGGACCTGAGAGCCCACACTCTGGCACCATTCCCTGTCTTCAAGCCCAGCTTTGCTGCCCCGAGATGGCCCTATGACTAAGTGCATGGCAGCTTGTGGCAGCCCGAGAGGGTTGCCTGTGACTCCTCGGGATACGGGCAGGATCGAGGACAGATCCAGCAGCCGGAGAGGGGACGTCAATAAAATAGAAAGGGTTTCCTCACATTTTCATCTTCTGGAAAGAAAAAAAAAAAGTAGTCAAGTGCCAACTTCCAGGCCAGCAGCTCCCTGAGCCCGAGACGGTCTGGGGAGGGTAGTGTACTATGGCGGGAGGCCTGAAGCAGCCATACCCCAACATCAGGCCAGGCCAGTCCTTCAGGCCACAGCTGCTCTACAGAGACAAGATAGAACTTTCTGATTCTTCTGGAGTTGGGGAACTGGGCCCCGCCTTCAAAGACCGCTGATGTTGCTCTAACTAGGGCCTAACGCAGGGCCCCACGGCACGAGGCATCTGCTTCCTCCACCCCAGGCCTCTCTTACTGGGCTTCATGCTGCTCCAGCTCAATGCTCCCTCTTCTTAGTCCAAAGTGGGAACCAGATGCCCAGTGTGTTTCCTGGCATGGTCTTCCTTGTCTTCTCTCACTGAGATTGGTCCAGCCAACCAAAACGATAAAGATGTCTTTCCCTCAGGAAGGGGCAAACTCTGTGGACCACGAGGACGTTCCTACTCCGCCCTCGGCCAGTTGCTCCCCTAGGCCAGGATGCTCTGGGCCGCCTTCCTGGTGCTCCACATCCCCAGGAGACCCTTGGGAACTCCCTCCGCTCACCAGCCCCAGGGTATAGCCATTGGGCCTCCGTCCAGAATGCGGGGCACTGCCATTGGCCCACACCCCCAGGGGGTGGCCATTGAGGCGGAGGCTGACCTGCTCTCCCTCAGTGCTGTGAGACGCCAAGGCCCAGGCACCGGAACCCCCGGCCTTGAAGGGTTCCTGCCGCCTCAGGACGTGGGTGCGGATGATCTTCCGGAAGGTCTGGCGGAACTCGCGGATCCTGTAGGCGTAGATGAAGGGGTTGACGACGGAGTTGCTGTGTGAGAGTATGATGGCCAGGTACATGAGCCACGGAGGGGCGTGCTGGCACGAGGGGCAGAAGAAAGTGAAGCAGTTGATGATGTGGAGTGGCAGCCAGCAGAGGGCAAAGAGCCCCACGATGATGGCGAGGGACTTGGCAGCATGGACCTCCTTCTGCAGCGTGGACCGGGTCCGCTCCCCTGGCAGGGGTTGGCTTTCCATCTGCTTCAGCTGTCTCCGGGCTGCCAGAAAAATCCGCAAGTAGATGCCCAGCATGAGCAGCAGGGGCAGTAAGACGAAAGCGAAGAAGTTGTAGTATACCATGTAGTTCATGGGCACCACGTCCTCGAACAGACAGGCCACCTGGCCCTTGCCGCAGTCCTGCGTGTAGTTCTGGCCGTCCTTGACCTGACCGCAGCTGTTCCAGCCCAGCATGGGGGTCAGGCCGATGGCGAACGACAGCACCCAACAAATTGCAATGATGCCCTTTGCCCTCATGCCTGTCACCAAGCCATTGTACCTGGGGAGAGAGGACCAGCATTAGAGGCCTGACGAACAAAGGTCAGCGGAGCCGCGAGCTCAGAAGCCCACAGAAGCCCCAACGGTTCCTGTCTCTTTCGCTTACAGGGTCTTCACTGAGCACTTCCTTCTCCTAGCCTCAGTAGTATCTCTTGTAGGTGAGGTGCTGGGCTCGTCCTTATCATAGCTGTAGGGATGTGACAGGAAGTAGTCATCCAGGACATGGACGCGATCCCACAAATGTTCGGGGGTTATTAGTCTTAGGTATGAGATTCACCTGGAGTTTGGTTTGGGAGAAATAGGTGATTTTAGGGGGACAAGTGCCACTTCTTTTTGGTTAATCGTGGTTCCTTCGATAACATGATTTCCTTTAGAGAAGAACTAGTTCTGCCCAGCGTGGGGACAGAGCGAGCAAGATCAGACCTGTAGATGGTCAGAGCCACTTATACTCCACGCTTGTTCTTCCCCATCGGACTTGAATCTCCACCGGCCTCAAGAAAAGGCTGTCCAGGTCATGGAGGAGGAGCAGAAGTCCCAGGCCAGATGAGATATCATCCCTCCTGCCCTCCAAACCCACCCACAATCCTCTCGGTGGAAATGAGACAATTATGTCTTGACATTTTCCTGGCAATCTTAATAATCAAGAGGTACTGAATGGGGTATGAAATAAGGCAGTAAATGGAAATATTCTTGTGCTGATTCCCAGGGTGGGGATGGGGGCAGGGCTTGATTTGTCCACCAGAAAGTAGACTCCGCTCCATTGGAAATACATGATTATTTTAGAGAAAGAAGGGAGGCACTCTGTGGCTCAGGGTGGATCAGAGCCATTCAGCTGCTGTTCAGTAAGAGTCTCTGGCTGATAAAAAGGAGCTTTGGTAACATCTAAGGAATAAGTCTAATGGTTTCAATTCTGGCCAAACAAGACGATCTTGCCCACTTGCAGTGGTGCCCAGTAGAACTTCCACTCTTCAGATTCAGGCTAGACATCTTGGAGAAGTTTCCTGCCTCATCTGAGGCCGGGAGCCCACTTAGGGTAGGAATCTCCTGCATTTATGTCTACACTGCCAGCTGGTGGACAGGGGCCTACAGCAGGTAACAAGGAAAACACGGACACCTATTGAGTCCAGACTGAAAGCAGCTCCAGAAAGGCTTACGGGTGGCAGACACAGGCACCTACTGATGTAAGACATAGGAGGAAAGCAGGTATGTGGTCGCCCTATCTTCGTCACGATGCAACATGTATGCCCAGAGTTAAAGAACTTACCTCACATGTGTGAGGCCCTAAGTATCATAAAAAAAGAAAGGAAGGAAGAAAGGAGGAAAGAAAGAGAAGGAAGGGAAGAAGGAAAATGTATACCCAGTGTTGCTAGATCTCGAGAAGGACCGGAGGGTTTTTTTTTTTGAGGCAAAAATATCTCCCATTTTAAATGTTGCTGATATATAGATAAGATAGATAGATAGATGATATATATAGATAGATTGATAGATGATATAGATAGATGACAGATTAGATAGATGATAGAAGATAGATAAGATAGATGATAGATAGGTTAGATAGATAGATAGATAGATAGATAGATAGATAGATAAGATAGATTGATAGATGATAGACAGATAGATAGATACATAGATAGATACATAGATAGATAGATGATAGATGATAGATAGATAGATAGATAGATAGATGATAGATAGATAGATGATATAGATAGATGATAGATATATAGATGATAGATAGATTAGATAGATAGATAGATAGATAGATAGACAGACAGACAGACAGACAGACAGGCCCTAGTAGTTGCTTACCACTTATCTAATTTGTTCCTCTGTTTTAGGGGAAACTGAAACTGAGACCCAAAGAGACACAGGGACTTCCTATGAACAGGCCCTAGGGCAACTGAAGCCTGAATGAATTTCTCAGAATCTTTTATGGTCTCTTCTGCCATGGTGTTGGGGATCAAATCCAAGGCCCTGCATATGAGAGGCAAGAGTCCTCCCTCTGAGCTATCATTCCAACCCTATCAATTCAGAACCCAGACAGTAATGTTCCTCAGAACCCTCAGCACGTTCTGAGGAGCTTCACAGGCCTGCCGAGTGGGGCCCTTGGCCACCTGTAACAGCGCCTCTGCAGGAGGGTCACAGACTAACTCTGCCCACCAACCATCACAGACCAAGCACTGTATGTGTGCCTCTCTGCAGGCTCAAACACGAAGTCCTAGGGCCCCCACCCCATCTAATACTTACACACTTACTCTGTGCCAGGCACCCCTCAACAGTGCTTTACTTGTTGAGGAAGCTATGTTACTGTTCACATCTTTCCTGGGACAAATACACCCTTCCTGGGTCCTAGTACTGGTACATTCCCGTAAGCAGGGAATGCTGCGTCACTTCTCCTCTCTGGGCCTCAATTTCCTCCTTTATAAACCGAAACTAAGAATTCTAGATGTATCGCCACTGCTCTGTAAGGGCAAGATGCTGAATTTAGTGGGCTGGAAACCCCAGGGAGCCACTCTGTGGCTCAGGGTGGATCAGAGCTATTCGGCCGCTGTTCAGAGAAACGGCTCAGGGTGGATCAGTTATTCAGCTGCTGTTCAGAGAAATGGGCTATGTGGGAGACTGATGGGTTTCTAGGAATGGGGTAGGGTCCCCCACCGCGTGACTTTCAAACTATTCTCAGAACAGGCCTTCTTGACCCTGTCCAGGGAGTTAAAAAGGCGGTAGTAAGTAGCTTCTGAGTTAATAATGTTGTGGGAGACAATGGGTCAGGGCTGATAGCTTCTGGGAATAAACCATGGAAATCCCTGGTTTGTCCAGTTTACTTTTACAGGCAGGGAACCCACAAGGGGAAGTCTTCCCCTGGATTCTAGAAAGAAAGCCCCTATGGATGTATTTTCCTATGTTGGCAAAGTACTGACGGTCTTGGAGATATTTGGTTATATGACCTTTGGTCTTCTTGAATGTTTAAGTGCATGCAAGCTTTATTTTTACACACACACACACACACACACACACAAATAGGACCCCATGCTCATATTTTCAGCACTTGGAAATAGAGGCAGGAGAATCAAGAATTCAAGGTCACAGGGCTAGAATCTGAGGTCTAGAACAGCATCAGGACCCAAATGGAATCACAAACAGACCATAGCTGTCTCAAGGGCACATCCTGGCCTGTATCTGTGACTAACACATTTCTCATCGAGGCTTTCTGGAGAAATACGTTCTGTGCAGCCATAATGATGTCCAGGCTGTCTAACATGATGTGGAATCCTTCCAGGGAGCCTCAGAGATATAGGGTGTGGGTGCCAGAGTCTCCAGCAACCCTATTTTCAAGTGGCCTCTGCATCCGTATATCCTCCAATCTGTAGAAGTTGCCCTCCCCTGGGAATCCTCATCACCCATCCTGGGGGCTCACCCCATGGCTCCAGAACATACCCACAATTCCAGGTGGAGTTTCCATGTGTATTTGCCACACTGGAGAGAAGGTGGGATTTTCTAAGTCTCCTTAAGGGGCAACGACCTAAGAATTGAAGAGCATCTTGACCAAAGAAGAAACTCAAAATCCCTCCATAGGCAGAGTCCAGCCTAAATCAGCCTCACACCACACCTGCCTCGCTTGCTCCTTCCTTGGTGACCTTTGGCAGGTTTTACTCTCTGGAGACCCCCCTCCACTTTACCTATCAAGACCATGCACACCCTGTAACACTAATACAGAAAGACTTCCTTCAGGGCACACCGCCTCCCAATTCTGCACCCTCACCAGCACCCTCATGGAGGGAAGAATGGAGTCAGGGCTTCACAATATGTTAAGCAATTAGTATTCTACCACTGAACACTGAGCCAAGCCAGCAGCGAGTTAGGGCCAAATTTCCCTTTTGTGGTACTAGCGATACAGCTTAAGGCCTTAGGCGTGCTACATAAACACTCTCCCACTGTGCAAATGCCTGGCCCTCGTGCCCTTTTGGAAATAGAGAAGTGTATTTTATAGGACTTCAGGTCTTGCACCAACTGATTTCCTGTGTGTCCTTTGGCCCGTTCTTTGGGTCTGAGAGCCCCTGAGGCCAATGTGAGACTTGCAGACAGTGGTGTGAAGGGTCCCTAGGAGAGGGAGCCTGGTCTCTAACACCTCGCTTTTCACTCTTTACAGGCACAGAACTTCATCTCTGCCACCGACCCATTTTCTTTATCACCCAAGAGACCCTGCCTTAATTGAACAGGGTCCCTACACTCAGGAAGGAGGGAACTGATCACTCCAATTCCTGGTACCTGGTGCAAGCTTGGGACTAAGCCTCCATCAAAGGTCAGAGCCTGTAGACCTTGCCAATACGAAAAGAAGTACCTTAGAAGAGGCTGAATTCCTGGCTGTGCGAAGAAAATGAGAGTTCAAGCTAGAGAACACCTCCAGAGCTACCAAAGGGTGCCTAGCCCTCTCCAGGTCCCCCTCATGCCTGATCCCCTGGTCCCCTCGAGATCCCCCTTGTGCCTGGTCCCCTGGTCCCTTCCAGAAACCCTGCATGCCTGGATGCTCCCTATCTAGAACCCTCCCCCATGCCTGGTCCTCTGGTGTCCTCTATGCCCCTATCATGCCCGGCTTGCTCTCAGATACCTTGCTCTACAGTTACCTCCACATTCTCAATAACCAGAAACTTCAAGGGATCGGAAAATGAAGGGGCTCAATGGCCAGGAACACAATGGTAGGCTCTAGATTCTAGACAGGTTGGGAGACACAGAGATGTCCTTTCGTGGCTCTGGTCTCCCACCAGGGTCATGTCATCTGCTCTGCTTGAAAAGCTGGACCAGGATGCTTCAGAGGATATACTGTACTAACACGCCACAGCAGCTGTAAAACTCGGCTCCTGGCCGAGACCAGCCTGTGCTTTTCGCAGCCCCACTCAGAGCTCAGATGACCCAAGGTCCAAGCGGAACTGAGGTCAGGAGGTCCTGGGGGTCAGGGATGCAATGGCTCTAAGCCTCCATCTCACAAAAGAGCTGCATCCTTCCCCCATTACCCCGCCCGGCCTAGTCATTCCTGCCCATTTACTGAAGCCGCAGACCTTTCTTTATGAGCTCAGAGGGACAACACAGAAATGTGTCTTCTTGTCACACCTGAGAAAACAGGCCCACACAGGGCGGCTAGCGTCCTACAGACACACACCTCATCCCATCCCATTTCAGGGATTCAGTCTCTTGATACTGAGAAGACAAAGACAGAGAGAGGCCAAGGAGAGGAGAGCCAGCCGAAGCCTTTAAAACCAAGACTAGCCAGCCTCATCTTTCCCACTATGCCACTCCTCAGAGTTGGAAAAGAGAGAACACTCAGCTTCTGCTTCTCTTGGTGACCTACTACTGCATGGCTGAGCCTGACTCCCAGGGCAAATGCCACTGACCACTGGAGACTCCAAGAGTAGAGGGTAGATGCCATTGACCCCTTGGGGACCCACATGTAGATTTCCCCTAGGCCTCTGGGTTCTAGTTTGTCACTGCAGGAACCTAGACCTTGGTCTACTTAAGAAGTATGGGGTGGAGGCAATGGGGCAGACTGTCCCCACAGGCGACCTTTAACTCCATCCCTTCGTAGAGCTTGCTGGAAGTCCCTCCCCCCCCTCTGTTTTTGCTTATTTCATTTCTTTTCTTTGAACAGGGGTCTTCAGACAGACTCCTCGCTGGCCTGCAACTCGCGATGCTTAGCTTTCGCCAAGTTCCCAGATACAAGTCTGTGTGCTTGCTACCAGGCCTGGCTGAGTCCCTTTTGACGAAGTCTTTAAGGCAACACAAGGCACAGGCTCCATCCTTTTGAGTAACCTAGCGTGGGTGTTCGCTTCTCCCTCAGGGCTCAGCTTATAGCAACAGCTGTGTGATGTACTGTCCAGGACACCCCCCGAAGTCACTCGGGAAGGCCCCCGAAGCCTGGCGTCATCGTGATGGCGGGTTACACTTCTCCCCAGGCTCTGCTACCCACTCCTTGGATGGCTATGAGAGAGGCAGCCCCCTTCTCAGAGCCTCTTTTTTCCATCCAGAAGATGAGGGGGAAGGAAATGACCTCTAAAGGCCCTCTTGCCTCTGACCCTGAATTTTCACCGTTCACCAAGCCTGGTCCCTATCGCTGGCTGCCCTCAGCCCACAGCAAAGTTACTGATGCTTCCTTTGTGGGTGGGAACACCACTGGGGTAGGAAAAACTCACTCTGGGGGCTATACGTTGTAATCTCCCTTTATGGACTCCCTCCTCAGGGTCCGCAGCCACCCTGGCTACAGGACCGAGCTGTGGTAAGAAGAACAGAGGTACAGTCCCTGGGAGAGTCTGGGTTATCTACAGGGTGGCTGGGAAGAGGCCTCTGGGAAGATCTTCATTACACAACACTTGGCCGAAGTCACGTCACAACAGAATCACCAGAAAACCCCCTCTGCACAGCCAGCCCCCAAAGCAGGCAAAGTCCTCTCAGCCTTAAGAGCAACGTAATTTGCATAGAAGTCCAAATGACTCACTGTGGCATTTGGCCAAGTCACTTCCCCTCCCTGGGTCACTCTTCTAAAGCACACACTGGGGGAAGGCTGGTGGTGACAGAGGCGGGTTCCTAGCTAAGGCCCTGTGGTTTCCCATGCTTCCCCACCCACCTCAGATCATGCTTAGAGGTATGAAGACTAGCTCACACACACCAGCATGCAGTATCAGAGCCAGGCCACCCTCATCTGACAGGAGCCATACATGGCTGCCTGTAGACAGCCTCAGCTTGGCACCTGGGGAGATGCCAGGGTACCCTGTACCTATAGGGATAAGCCGGACAGGTAGGCCACCTCCAGTTCTATCAAGAATCATCCCAAGACCCAGAGGCCTGTCCTCTGTGCCCACAGATATGCAAGCCCTGGCTCACCGGAGTGGGATGCGGATGGCGATGTAGCGGTCAATGGCAATGGCCAAGAGGCTGAAGATGGAGCTCTGAGTGAGGACCAGGACGAAGCAGGCGAAGAAGAGGCAGCCGTGGCAGGCGGCGCAGAAGCCGGTGCTGATGGTGATGGCAAAGGGGATGGCGAGCACACCCACTGCAATGTCAGCCGCTGCCAGTGACACCACAAAGTAGTTGGTGACATTCTGTAGGTTGCTGTTGATCCACACGGCCCAGCACACAAGTACGTTGCCCAGGACGGCCAGCACAGCAATGGCCAGCTCCACCGTGATGTACACCGAGGAGACCATGGTGGGAGCAGCCACACTTGGGCAGGCTCAGCAAGGATGCGGGTCTGGGCCAGCTCTCGGTCCATAGCTGCAGCCCAGCCGACCACCTACTCAAGTCTCGCAGCCCTTTCCTCACAAGAGCCACGAGTGTTCCCAGAGAGAGTTTGCCACAGGCTTTCTCACAGAGGATTCCGCGTCTCCTAAAATCATGACTACGCCAAGGGATCCAGCCAGGCTCCGCTCGACTTTAGGCTTCTGAAGTACCTGCAAAGAGAGATTGCCAGTGAGCGGCTGAGCCACCCCAGCCACTCCAGATTCTGCCTAGTGTCTGCCCAGGAACAACTCCCGTCTTGCCCTATCTGTGGCCGTCAGTCAGGACACAGGCCTGAAGAACTCAATGGTTCCAAATAATTCTGGTCAAGATCTTCACCCAACCCTTCTCGGGGAAGTAGTTCCTCCCCCAGTCTCTTCAGGACAGACATGGGAAGGATAACAGTCAGAGCGAGGACTCTCTACCCAACATGCCACTTTCCTCACTCCGGGTACCGCATTACCACCGTCCCAGCCCAGACTAGCAGCTGGCGCTATGGAAGCAAGTTAAAGTCAAGGCAAAATGATGCTTCTATTGGCTCCTCTTTTCTGTAGCTTTTCGGATCTTCTGTGGCAGCCTGTCCTGTCCTCTGGGTCCCTGCATCCATGATCAGTCCCGTGAGACCCTTCCCTCCAGCAAAGCTCTCTCCCTATCGGGCTTCCCAAATCCCATCTACCTTCTCACACTGGGCTAGCCTCCCAGCCCAGCACATCTTGCTCCATCCCCTCAGGGAACTACCATCCCCACTTGAGGGACACCACCGTCACTCAGGTCAGACACTTCTTCAGACACTCCTGGAGTTCCTTTCTGGAGGAACCTGGGAGCCTTATGTCCTAAGCTTTCTTACCCTCACAGGTGGCAAACAGGATCCAAGCGAAGGCCACCGCTCCGAGAGCTCCTGCCAGCAGGCTGCGCACCGGGGCAGGGCAGGAACTGTGGCTGCTTCCCTTCTCTGAGGGATCCGCCTCCCGCTCTCCTCCCACGCCTCTTCCCACCTGTCCCTGTGCCTAGCTGCTGCTGGGATTGCAGCTTTAGGAAAACAGGCGCTCTGTGAGGACCCACTGGAGGACTGTGGGCAGGAATTTTTTTTTCCCCGGGTTTCAGTTTCTCCACTCAGAGTGTAACACCATTACATTGTCCCAGATGACAACCATGGGCTCACTCCCGTGCTTATCCATAGCCCCCTTGAGAAAAGAATAACAGATTTGGAAAGACTACCCCAGAGTCTCAACGTCAGATCACAGGAATAGCTGAGACCCCCCTAGAAACGGGAAGTCTTGCTCTCTCTGTAGCAGGACCCAGTCAAGCCCAAACTCCTGCCCTACTCCCTGAGCTTGCAAAACTCAGTGTAAGCAGGACTCTCCCAAAAGCCTGCCATCCCCCAGGCAAGAACCAAGAGATCCCTCCACTCCCAGTTCATCCTCTTCAGTTCTGAACCTCTATAGGACCCCAGGTTGTGCCTGCACGAAAACACATCTTTCCTACTTCTATACGCCAGGACTGAGGGTGAGTGGAACTCCAGGCCTTGGAAGAAGGGTCTTCTCCACTCGAATCTGGCCAAGAGGTAAGATGGGGCTGCAATAAATAAACCCCAAGCTCCCTATTGTGATGTTGCCAGGGCTTCAGTCTAGAGCCAGGGGAGACACGGCTGCAGCTGTGCAGGTGTGGAAGCCCTTCTTTCTACCCAGTGAGGAAGCGGATACGGAAGCTAGGAACGGGAGGCCAAAGTCTGCAGAAGCCGACGGTATTACCGTTTCTACCTAAGAGGCGCCATGGCTCCTTAGGGTAAGGCAGAGACAGCTATAGCTAAGCCCTTATGAATCCCAGCTTTGCATAAGCCAATGGCCAACTAGTCGTTCTTAATGCATCTCCCCAGCAGAATGGCTAGAGCCGGGACGTGTGCCGCCTCTGGGTTCGTGTCCCTCTGTGCACACAACTTACAGTTTACAGAAGCATGCATCAGGGGTCCACAGCAAACCCAGGACCAGCAGCTCCTACCTTGGGCTGTAGCTTTCAACGCGTGGGGCTGCAGCAGCCCTCTGTCGGCTCAACCAGGCCCAACCAGGCTCAACCAGGCCCAGTGAGCCCCTGGAGAGCTACTGCCTTCCAAGAATCCTGACTCCCAACTGGTATCTTCTGGGGGGGGGGGGTAACCACATATCCCTTGGGCCCGCTCTAGTGGAATTTGTGTTGATGGGCACTGAAGCTGTCTGGAATTAGACCAGCCCATGGCTAGAAAGCCAGCCTAGACACTAAACATCCTCCATCTTCAAGGTCCCCAGTGGGAAGAGTGGAATGTAACACAGTTCTGTCAAGGTGAGCCAGCTCCTTCCCTGAGCCGAGAGCCCTGCTGATGGCCACACCGCCAGGGCTGACCCGCCAGTGATGGCGCTAACTCCATCGCTTCCAGAACCTTGGCTTGGGAAGTGCCTAACTCAGGCCTGTATTTGCTGAGGTTCTCCCAGCAGCCTCGCTACCTGACTGAGTCGTCCCAGTTCTCAAGGATCCTCACGTTCTGTGCTGGGTCCGCGCTGGATATTTCTGGACACCAGCACCCTCCCTGACTGCCCTGAGGCCACCCTGCTGCGCTCCAGTCTCAACACAGCTGGCCCTCCTGCCAGGCCTGCCTTGCGTGGGCTGAGGACACGCCAAAGGTTCCTGTCCCAGGGCCCTTTCCTCTGCCCTTCCTTCAGCATTCCTGCAGCCTGCCTCAGCTATCACAGCGCATCCCAGGGGAAGCTCCTCTGATCCCAGGGCCACCTGGGCAGCTGCCAAACCAGAATCTTTCTTTTCATTTGTGCTTTCCCCAGCCCCAAGTCCAGCAGATCAGAGGAGCCAGAGGCATTCTCAGGACAGACAGGAGGGAGGAGCCCTGCAGGGGAAGGCTGAGACTGTCTAGCTATAGGCAGGCAAAATAGCCCAGGGCCAGGGCACCCTGACTTGGAGCCTTTCTTTGTAGTATGAATGTTCCCACTGGGCCAATTCAGACCTACAAATGTATCACTGACCAGACGGAGCCACACACAGACAGGGCCAAGAGATGTCAGCCACCCTGCACTGTTAAGTCCTGTGCTCTCCAGGTGGCCATGGATCTGAATATCAAGGCTACACTGAGCCCCCTTGAGGAACTTTTGTGTGCTGTCTGGGAGTTTGGAAAATGCCTGAAAGTTGTGTTCTGGCTGGCTTGGTGAATTCCATTTTTCAGATGAGAAGCTGCAGCCCAAACAGGTGAAAAGACTCTCCCCTTTATCAGGGACGTTAGAGGGTGGCATAGTCCCTGGAGAATGCTAAGGGATACGGTAGCCGACATCCCTCTCTGCGACAACAGTGGTTCTTAACCTGTGGGAGGTGACCCCTTCAACAAACCTTTATCTCTAAAAAATTATCTATATTACGATTCATAACAGGAGCAAAATTACAGTTATAAAGTAGTAATGAAAATAATCTTATGGCTGGGGGGGTCACCACAACATGAGGAACTGTATTAAAGGGTCATAGAATTAAGAAGGTTGAGAACCTCTGCTCTAGAGTCACGGGAAGCCTGGGGGCCCAGGGGAAGGGGCCAGTGCAGAGCCGGGATCTAGCAATTTCCTATCCCTATCTTTTGTCTCCATCGAATTAATCCTTGAGTCATCTGTTGCTAGCCAAGAGGGGAAATTAAATATTAATAATGTTGCATTTCCTTATGATTGTCCTTTGCTGGGGACAGGGCAGGGTGTAGAAACTGTCCCGTGTAAACCACAGGCACATGCTACGGGACACGTATCAGTAGACTTGAAGGGACAACGCCTTAGGGTCCCAGCGGTCAGACTCCATGCTGTCTTTCCCCGCCCATCCACTCCCACCCTGATCCAGCCACTTTAATTAAAACCACTTAATTCCAACCCGCATATCCCCTGACCCACCCCAGGCTCCGTGTACACATGCCCAGGTGGCGCCTCCGGACCCTGCTGGCTGTGTCTCCGTGCTCCCAGACAGTGCTCCATGTACTGCTCCGGGGTGCAGCCTAGCACACAGAACAGAGTAGCGCAGGGACAGGCCACTGCAGCGGCACTGGGCTTCTTCCTGGGCTCTAGAACCCCAGCCTTACGATTTCGTTTTGTTGTGAGATGGGTCACTTGTAGCCCAGGCTGGCCTTAAGCTTGCTATGTAGCCAAGTATAATCTCGAACTCGTGATCCTCCTGCTTCTGACCTCTAAGTGCTGTAACATAGGCCTGTGCCATTGTGCCCGGGCTGCCTCTTTCTCATAGGCAATGTTCACCCAGTTACCTAACCTTCTGGGCCACGGGGAACCTCTGAGCCGTGTGCTGCCACCTTTGCTCCCTGCTGTCCTGGAATCTACTGCAGGGGTCTCAAAAGACAAGAACCTGGGAATTCTCCAATGACAGCTGCTACCTATGAGATTCAGAGACTTAGAAGCCATACCCAGGACCCCCAGGACCTCATCCACCACTTCAGGTGAGCTGCACACTAGATTTAAGATGCCAGAAGAAAACAAGACGGAAGAAGAAAAGATCCTAGCACTCGGGAGGCAGAGATAGGCGGGTCTCTGTGGCTGAGTTGGAGGCCAGGCCAGTCTACATGATGACACTCCCTGGGGGGGGGGGGGGAAGTCCGTGAAAGAGAAAATAAAAGTATCAAACCCACAGGAGAGGATATGGCCTATGTAGTGATAATTTAGGTATTTTACAAAGGAAGGGCCATAAAGGAGAAGGAGAGCTAGCAAACTCTCTGGCACACCAGAGCAAATACAAAGAAGCAGCATGAAATCGTGGGCAGGACAAACAGGAGTCAAAATAAAGAGCCCATCATAAAGAGCGTGATAGACATCAGCCCTGCAGGCAGCGGAGGCCCGAGGCAGTGGTGGATGGAAGAGAATCCCGAGGAATTCCTACAGGAACCAGAGACAAAGTCTAGATGGAGGAGATTCAACATCTGTCCTTGGGAAGCGGGTGATGCGTGGAATAGCACCAAGCAAGAGTCACGGTGGGATGTGCCGGTACCTTTACACCCGAAGCAGTCACAGCGGGATGCACTGGTACCTCTTACACCCGAAGCACAGCCCTGTAGTTGCTCAGCAGTAGCTGGACTTGCAGGAAGACCCCCCAAGCCCACTGAGCTCCTCCCTAACACACCAATCAACAAGACAGGTGCGCTCTGAGGCTGCCCGATGCTGCATGGCCTGGGCCTCCCTCCCCTTCCTGGATCCCTCCAGAGTTGTGCAGCACCCACATTCTAATACCTGGTAAAGGCTTGGGACCTCAAGAATACAAGTAGGTGACCAGTATGTCCTTCCCCTACCAACCAGGGTGTGTGGCTGCTGTTATGTTCCTGGGGACAGGATGTGGGCAGGAAGGGAGAACCAGCTCTCTGCAGCTGGAGGCCAGGGCACTAGCTTGCCTTTCTAAACAACTTCTCTATCACCAGCCAGGACCCAGGCTACCCTCGTTTAGGCTCAAAGGCTACTGGTCAGATCTCCCTTCTCTCCCACTGAGAGTCCTAGAATGGACCCTGACATGCCCACTTGTCCAGGTCTGGTACCCAGAAAGATCACAGGTTCCCAGTCCTCACCTCGGGCTACTCACACACTGCAGGCTGCTTCTCCAGATATAACCCCTCCCGGGATCCAGGCCTTACAGAGGGGCCCAGAGGGCAGCCTGCGGTGGGATCAGCCTGCGGCGGGGTCCATGCCATGTCCGTCACAGACTCCCCTGCACTGTGCCTTGGCTTCTCCCATGTGCACAGGCTAAAGCATCATATATATGAGCAGCCCCTGTGCCTGCCATAAATAGTGGACAACAGGTACTGTTCCTCCTGAAAAGGGAACAAGGGATCCCCGGGTGGAACCCTGGCAGGGGGCTGGCCTGTACACTAGACATGAGGGGTTCAAACCCACTGCTTATCCATATCCCTAGGATATGGGTGTGATGATGCAGCCGTAGAAGATGAAGGGCTCATGGCTCTCAGAGGTCACTGCGAGGTCAAATGTAAAGATTCTTCCAGCTAGAGCCTCGGGAAGAGACCTGTCACATAAAGTTAGAGGTAGCCCCGGGACACCGCACAGGGCCTGTCATCCTAGTGTCTAACCCCTTGTGAGGCCTAGAGTAAGGGTGGCTGTTCTCCCCCCCCCCCAACCCGTTCCACCCCTGCTTAGCACCTGGCAGGATCCCATGGCTTCCAGATTCAGAGCTGGGACCTTCCTCTCTGCACCTCATGGTTCCGGGCCTTGCTCTGAACATGAGCAGCCTCCAGGGTCCCCTTTCTGTACCCCTAATCTTTTCCTCCTATTGGAGGCCCAGTATGGACCTAGGGTAGTTCCTCAAGCACTGTATCACCTCTGCTCCCTCACCACTCCTGAGTTCCCAGGTCATGATCTACCTTTCTGTGGTCCCCAGTGTGTCCCAGGGACCAGAGTCTTCCATGGTAGTTGGGGAGAGTCTCTTTTACCAGCTCAGTTACCTGCCGGTAGAGCATCCTCACCTGAATGTTCCCATCTCCTCAGCTCCTCCACTGCATTCATGAAAACCCTTCCTTCCTGTGCCTGTCTATCTATCTGTCTGTCTGTCCATCTATCTATCTATACACCCATCCATCATCTATCTGTCTATCTGCCCCACCTCCTCAGCTCCTCCATCATATTCATCAAAACCCTTCCTACCTGTGCCTATCTATCTGTCTGTCTATTATCTATCTATCAATCTTATCTATCTATCTGTCATCTATCTATCATCTGTCTATTTATCTATCATCTATCATCCATACACCTATCATCCAATATCTATCTATTATCTATCAACCTTATCTATCTATCTATCTATCTATCTATCTATCTATCTATCTATCATCCATACATCTATCATCCAATATCTATCTATCTATCATCTATCTATCTATCTATCTATCTATCTATCTATCTATCTATCTATCTATCATCTATCTATCTATCTATCATCATCATTCTCTCTCTCTCTCTCTCTCTCTCTCTCTCTCTCTCTCTCTCNTCATCATTCTCTCTCTCTCTCTCTCTCTCTCTCTCTCTCTCTCTCTCTCTCTCTCTCTGCCTAGCTTTCTCTCCCTCTACTCTCATATGCACACACTAGGCAGGGTCCCTGTTGGGTTGTATCAAAAGGACAGAGATGGTGACCGTAACTTCTATGAGGTGCGCTAGCTCAGGAATGGTCAGGTTAGAGGCCAGAGCTGCTGATTTCAGGCAACAAGCGGGTTACCAGGGACTGTGCTTCCCCTCACAGGTCCTGGACTTTGCAGAACCTGACACCTTGATGCCACATGCTTGCTCCCAAGCTAACGCTTGTCCACACTTCCCTCCGCTCATAGCAATCTGGGCCTCTTCCTCCAGGACTACCCAACCTAAGCACAGAGATCCCTGACCTGCCCTCTGGCATATCCTGACCACAACCTCCACTGCCACCACCCCTTCCCCTGAACTTATCCCCATACCCAGCCAAAGAATATCTTCCCCCTCTTCCTCTATACCTGTGTGTTCAGCATTACTAAGAACATCACTACTCTACAGATGGGAAAATGGATTCCCAGGGCAGTGGCAAGGCCACTTAGTTAGTACACATCTAGAGGACAAGAGCAAAACCCAAATCTTTAGTCCTTCTGCAGGGCCCTGGAGATCAGCCACTGCTTCTTCTGCCTGACCCAAAGTTTGTCTTTTGCTACATGTGTGAACTGCCCTTAGTCTAACTTCAAGCCACGAACAGGGAGATCGGCTCAGCTCGGCACAGTCATGGTCAGCTCTGAGAGAGTGCACACTGGCTAGGGTTTGCCCAAGAGACGCCAGGACCTGAGAGAACCTGGGAATTTCCAGAATGTAAGGGCTGAATTTTGAGATCTTGACATCACAGTCACAGACCCATCAGTCTTTAAGGAGCCCTCGAGGACCCAAACAAGCAGGGCCTTCCCAATCCCGTGCTTCCCAAAAGCTCTCCACCATCACCCTAAAGGTCCTGACACCAAGAACAAGATTGGTTGGGTGTGACACTCTTCTGAAAGGCATGCGGAATCTAGGAGTCCAGAGAAAGCTAGGCAGCAGAGGCAGAACATTCCAGGTAGAAGGACAGAAAGCAGGCTCCTTTCTCAGGGAGACAAGGCACGGCCTCTGGGTGGGTAAGGGAAGGGGTCCAAATCCCTTCCCCAGTCATCAGGAGAATAAAAGCTCTGCCTGCCCCGGTTGTGGGGAGGAGTCCTGGAGACCACCTGCTTCTGTAGCCCTGGACCACTGTGAATCCCTGCTGCTCCGTTTGTATGGACTGGCAAAATTAGTCTAAATGTTCCCTTGCCCATCTTCTGCCAAACCCTTGAGAGCTGCCACCGTTCCCGCCATTTCTGCCCCCTGCTTCGGGCAGCCCCAAACGCTCACCCACCCTCTTGTCCTCTGGCCTCTCCAGTGTCCTAAGTCGGGTTCCCGCCACCACTGTCAACAGGATGCTCCCCTCCCCCGGGTTCCAAACTCCCCTGCTCTCTTCGTGCCTTCCTGGCTGTAAGCTCGTGCCCGCCTGAACCCCTTACCCGGGAGTCTGACCCGCCTACCTCCGGCCGCGCCTCGACGTCCGCAGCCTAGCTTTGGCAGGGACGCGCCCTAAAGCGACTTGTGAGCTTGCAGGTTCAGTCCTCAGCACGGACAAATCGACGGCCGTCGCCGCGCGTCGCCTGCAGGTCTAATCGCCTGACTGTAAGGAACCCCGCTGCCCTGCCTTATTCGAGCAACCTGCTCATGCTCACCTTCCGGTCGCTGAGGACCGCCCCGAAGGCACGGCTCTTAGGATGGTGACCCTCACCAAGGAACCCCGCTGCGGCCACTCCAGAGGCAGCCAGGACAGGCTCGGACCCTGATACCCGCGGACTCTCCTCCCGACAGCAGGAAGGAAGGGTCCGGTCCGAGGGAGAGGCGGGCGCTCCAAGGGGCGGGAGGGTCCTAATCCGCTCAGACCTCCTGGCCCTTCGGAAACCGACGGCTACAGTCGCCAAGACGCCGGCCCGCGACACCCTCCTCCCCCGGATTCCCCAGACCCAGGCCCCCGACTGACCTGTCTCCTGCGCTGGCTCCCACCGTCTCAGCGGCGGCTCGGGCTCCGGCTCCGGCCGCGCCGCTCATGGGCGCACCCTGCAGGCGACTTTGAAACCAGCGCTGCTCCCGCCCCGCCCCGCCGCTTGGGGAAACCGAGGCCCCGAGGCGGGAATCAGAGGAAATAGCCCCGGGAGGGCTAAGTCGTGACGGGTCTGGCAGCAAAGCACCCCTTGTCCCAGTATGGGAGCTTCTGGTCTACGCATCCTGACCGCCTCCTCCAGCGCCACTCCCACCCCCACCCATGAAGCCTTGGCGCCCCACCCCTCTCCGGTGGCTCCTCTACAAGGCATCAGGCTGGCTGCCTGTGCCACTCTGGGGCTCCCGGTTCTGCCTTCTATCGGAGCTAGGCTGCCCTGATGCTGTTACTCCAGCTACCGCTCCACACCCGACTTTAGACCGGGGTCCTTTTCTGTTCTTTCACCCCTGACGCCTACGGGACCTTGACTCCTCCCCACAATCCTCACTACAGAGCAAGAAGGGAGTTGCGTCTGCACCACAGACTAACTAGGACTTTCAGAAATCTGGGCTGGGAATCCCCTCCTCTCACTACCCTGGTTCTGGAGGTGGCTGGACGACGAAGCCTGCCTTGGACGCATGTCTCTGGATGGATTTGCGAATCTCCATCTGTTTCCAGCAGAAGTCCTTCATACACCCAGGCACTGAGGGCCAAGGCCTCTCTGGAAACCTCCTGGAACCTACAGACTGCCGTCTAGAGGCAAGTGTGGAGAGGCTTGCTGAGAACCAGGCTAGACCCCAGGGCTAAGGTCTGGATGTGAAGGAGCAATTCAGAAGCAGCCCATTGCTCCATCACAGAAACAGGTGGGCAGCGAGTGTGCAGGTGCCTAGCCCTTGGAGAAGCCAAATGCCTGCCTGTAAAATGGTAATTGTCGCTTTCCGGGGCTCATCCCTCCAAAGTCTGGCCTCTTGTTTCCAGAGGCTCTATTAGTGTTAGAGTAACTGTAGGGTGGAGAGTGGGCATGCGTGTATGTGTGCACATGTGTAGATCTGGTTAGAGTAGGGACCTGCATGCAATGTGAATTAAACCTGAGACCCCCTGGAGGAGCACATGAGACTGAGGTACTGTCACTTCAGGTGAAGAAGTCCATAGGCTTCATCAAGCAGAACCAGTTGCTGGGGCTGCCCTGGCACCGGCATGCATTGCCATATGCCTTCCAGGGATGTGGTTGTTTAGCCATCTCCTGGGTCTTGCCAACAGCTACTACCAGAGGATTAAGGATGGGGACACAACCAAGCTGGGGCCTATTCTCAATCTGGTGACACTGCACGCTTGCTTTGGTCCTCCTCATGCCTGAGCAGTGCCATCCCCCTGGACTTATGTCCTGGGAACACTATCCTGAAAATCACCCTGAAGGCGTTATGGGGACTCATGAAGTAGAAGTCAACTACTGCCCAGTTCTGAGGGTTCCTCCTTTTTCCTCAGGCTTCTCTTCCCAGCCCTTACAATTCCAAGGCCCAGCACCTTCCTCCAGTGTTGGGGGTTATGGACCCCCCCAGACCTTTAATTTCCTGCATACAACTTGCTTACAGCTGCTCTGAGCAAAACAACTCGTTTTTCTGTGTTTGCAGCTGCTCTGAGCACGAGACAGGGGAGTGATTTCTGGTGGCTCCAGCTGAAAGATCCCGAGAGCTGGGGCGTGGCCAGAGCCCTGAACACAATAAAGTGGGCATTCTTGCCTCAAGGATGACTCGTGTCCCGTCTCTCTCTCTCGCTCTGTATCTTTGTGTGTTTAAAGCTCCAGGTCCTTGCTCGAGACTTGCAAACTTGAATTGTCCCGTAGTATAGGCAGACAGTACAAGGCCCTCGGTGACAACAGGAACTAGGGAGATAATGAGAGATCACCCTTGGATTGAAGATGGGTATGTGTATATGCGTATGGAAGAAAAAGAGTAAGTCTTTAAAGAGTATAGACAGTCAGATTAAAAGGAGTAAAGAAATAAGCCTCGAAAAGATGGAAGAATGTGCACAGATGTATATTTTCTTTTGGTTTGACTGGAGAGAGACATTTGATTCTGGGGACTGCTAAGGAAGGTGTCTTGACTCTAAAATACAGGTCTAAGGATTTGTGGCTTTAGAAAAGAGGTTCTGCTTTTGTTTCCACAGAGGATGAGAACCTGTGGATTCATTCCAGGCTAATGTGGTTTGATGCAACAAGACCCCATGAAATGTTGCTGTGAATGCCCCCCAAAGAAAGTTCGCCCAATAAACAGCAGGAAGTAGTATAGAGAATGACACTCAAATTCCCAAAATTGTTTAATAGAGGTTATGGGGCCCAGGGGGACACAGCAGTAGTGCCAGGAGCATCGGCGTGGCAACAAGTGCTGGAGCTGAGGCAAGCCGGAGCTGCTCAGACCCCTCTGGGCCGCCTCAATGGAGAAGGTTGCAGCGGGGTGAGGAGAAGGTGGTGGTGGTTCCCGGCTCTGCGCACCCAAGAGTCTGTAGCACTGTAGCGCCAGCAGCAGGCTTTCCGGCAGGACCTGAGGACCCCGCACAGTAGCCACGAAGGTCCCTGAGCCTGCCTACAGCCCTGGCCGGTTGTGGGTAGCACTCGCCAGTAGGATTTGCTGAAGGAGGCAGAGGCAGGAGGATCTGGAGTTTGAGGATGACTGCCGACCATCCTGGCCGAGACTTCGGGATCACCACGAGCGGCTGCTACTGTCACCGCTGCGGGCCCCCTTCGCGATAGCTGGAATTGCCATCAGCCGGACGGCTGCTGTAACTATCTTGTAGCCAGCACCAGCATTTAATATCATTCATGTTGAACGTAGAATGAGCATGTTCGCTAGGGCATTTTCCAGCTTTTAAGAGCAGTTGGATTTCTTGTGCGATTTGCATGTGGTTAATTCGTTGCTCTCCTTTTTTACATATTTGTGCCACGCTAGGGCCAGTTAAGAACATTAGTGCTACTTATATAGAAAACAGGGAGCTGTTGGGGACTGTAGACCCCCAGACCCTGAATTTCCTGTAAACAACTTGCAGCTGCTCTGAGCAAAACTTGTTTTCCTGTGTTTGCAGCTGCTCTGAGCATGAGACAGGGGAATGATTTCTGGTGGTTGCAGCTGAAAGATCCCGAGAGCTGGGATGTGGCCAGAGCACTATATAAGCTGCCCCTGAACACAATAAAGTGGGCATTCTTGCATCAAGGATGACCCGTGTCCCTGTATATCTGTTTCTGTATGTTTTTAAATCTCCAGCCTAGTTCCTGTCTCGAAGTGCAGGCGCTACAGGACCATGACCGTAGCATGTAGCGGTAGCTCCTAGTGCGGAGGGCAGAGGTTGCTTTACACTTCAGGAGTCTTCTAGAGAAGTGGTTTCTTTCTTTCTTTCTTTCTTTCTTTCTTTCTTTCTTTCTTTCTTTCTTTCTTTCTTTCTTTTTTTTTTTTTGGATTTTTCGAGACAGGGTTTCTCCGTAGTTTTTGGTTCCTGTCCTGGAACTAGCTCTTGTAGACCAGGCCGGCCTCGAACTCACAGAGATCCGCCTGCCTCTGCCTCCCGAGTTCTGGGATTAAAGGCGTGCACCACCACCGCCCGGCTGAGAAGTGGTTTTCAACTCTTAATGGGTCCAATGATCCTTCCACAGGGGTCACCTAAAGCCATTGGACATAGCAGATATTTGCACTGATTCTTAACAGTAGCAGAATTACAGTTACTAAGTAGTAATGAAAATAGGTTTATGGCTTCGGGCCACTACAACATGAAGAACTCTGTATTAAAGGGTCACAGCATTAAGAAGGTTGGGAACCGCTGCCCTAGAGGGTCTTGCCTGGTGTACTGCAGGAATGTCTTACCCAAGGAGTAAGGCCTCCTTTCCAATACCGGCCCGCAGGAAAGTAAAGCCAGTGGTCGTTGCAGTTCACCCTTAAGTTCTGATGGGTAGAGAAACCCGCCATGAAAACTGTGCCCTAAGGCCAGCACAGTAAGGCAGAGCCTGGCTTAGCTTCAACTCCATAGGCCCACATGGCCATGAAGAGCTGTGCTGAGCCACGAGAGGCTGACTCAGGCCTTCCTAGGCAATAAAGGTTCACTTTGGTCTTGGTCTGACTCCCTTCCTAGTTATGTGGGCTTTTCGCGGGTGCTGAGATCAATCGGGAGCCTGGGCCTTCCTGAATAGGGTTCAAAGGCAGAGGGTTCCTAGCGGATCCTGCCTGAGAGCGCACTTGGTCCCTGGTTGCCCGGTTTCTAGCTCTGGGCTTTGGTTTCCCCGCATAGCCTCAGGCAGCCACCCTTCCTTAAGGCCAGGTCCCAGCCCCTCAGTCCGAAGTGTGGGGCCAGCTGGGTTCTGTCGTGTCCCAGAATTCCACTCTCAGCTTACTCCTCCACCCTACCCCCAGCCCTTTGTTCCTGCCCAGGATGCACCTGCGTGGCCTCTGGCCCTCATTGTTTGCTCTAGGGCCAGCTGGGCCACATCAGGGAACAAGACACGCCAAGACTGGGGACTATGGACCTAGTCGGCTCTGGGCCAAGTCCCTTGAGAACCCCACGCCACCCCAAGTGCTCAATTTTCTTCCTGTGAGCCAGAGGCTAAGTTCATCCTTAGAGGGACACCCTGAAAAGGCAAAATACTGTGAGAGGAAGCAGTCCAAATTGTCCAAAGCAAGGCAGACAGGAGGGTGACTCCCTCCCAACCTATGGCCTTGCAAGAAAACGCTCCATCCTCCACTTACTTCTTACCATTGGGACAGAGCAGCGGCCCTGGAGTGCAACCGTGGAGCTCATCTGGTGCAGCACTGTAGACGGGCCAACGGCAGAGGTGTCCACAACCTTGTCCTGGCCCCATGGTGGGAAGCAACTGTGCTCTGCAGTTATCACCCCAATGATGGCCCGAAGTCACCTCCCTGTGCTGTGTCCCCAGTCCTGGGGATGCACCAGGCCTCTCTCCCATTAAAGCGTAATTGACAGTAGGAGCCCACAGAGGTCAGAACAGCTCCAGCATATTCAAAAAGTGGTCCAGCCCACATAAAACAAAATGAAGAGCACGCTGGCTTGTAGTCTTTCCAAGATCTCGTTCTCTTCCTAGGACTCAGCTCCCAAACTTCAGATACCCTGATGGTCCCTTTTCACACTCAGGGCAATGCAGACACCCTCTAGGCATTTTTTGGTGACAAAGACCAGTCCTCCCAGCTTTGGGCCTGGTGGTAGTCATTGGTAAACCACATACTAATTCACCCCCAAGAAGTGTGGCTTCCTCTCCTATCCCTGCCTGGTCTCCTGGGGAGTCCAACCTGCTGCTTGCTGTCAGAGTTTCACCAGAATGGAGTCACAGCAGTCTGGGACTCCACCTTCACCACTCGACACAGAGCATAGTGGCCACACACTGAGACCATTCACATCTGACCACTTCCCGCTGGAGGAACCACCTCAAATAATGCAGCCCCTCTGAGACTTTGGGGGGAGTGCCAACTCTGTCAAAATGGGGCATGAGGTGGCCGCTGGGTGCCCTGGCTCCCAGAGGCTGTAGATACAGGTTTCTTGGAAGCTTCCTAGTTAGTCCTTTCTTCCTAGGAACCTATTTTCCTTTTCCAATAGAGCTGCCCCTCACAGCTCTAAACCTCCCTTATCAAGGTACTGGCTGGGACTGGCAATCCCTTATCTATGATAAAGAAGAAAAGATACTGTCACTGAGAACTCTTGGCAGATAAACTAGGTTACATAAGAGCCCCTCGGGGTCAGCATACAACATGCAGTCTGCAGGGCTGAGAAGACCCTTCTTTGGAGGGGCCCCGATGCCTTCTCAGGGGCAGATCAAAGTGCCACAGGCAGGTCAGCACTCCTCTTGCCTTGCAACAGGTTCCTGATGTCCTGAGAACACAAATTCAGTGTTCAGAGTGAGGAAGAGCTGGAATAGTCCCGGTCCAGTCCCTGCCACGACGGCTCCAAAAATTCAGCAGAGCCCTCTGCTCCAGGATTGAGTTAGGGTCATGTGGGTTGTCCTGGGCACCTGAAATGTTGGAGGTCATGGCTTGTGGGCACTCTAAGGACGTATCCAAACTCAGGCCAGCTGGAGTCTTGGCCGCCACGGGACCCCAAATCCTGGAGAGTATCATGCCTAGGCAGGATGCTCAACATAGGCGCCCTGTGTACAGATGCTGAGTCCACAGATCTCTCCCGCATGTGACATGTGCAAAGAGGAGAGAAAGCGTCCAACCTCAGCACACTGGATTCGAAAACACTGCACAATCCACACTCGGAGCTGGAGTATAGCTCAGAGGTATAGAATTTGTTATAGCACATGCGAGGTCCTGCAGTTTGAACCCCAGCACTGAAACAAAAAAGATGCACAGGAAAAAAAAATGCCTAACTAGCTGCCTCTAGATAGAATACCCTAACCCCATAGCTTTATATATCCTGAAATCCATCTCTAAGAAGCTAACATTTATAAAAAGAAAAGCAAACAAAAACATTTGGGACATCCTGTTCCAATGTGTGGGCTATGCTGGAGGCTTCACTCATGCAGGGACTCCACCGTGGGGCACGTTAGCCATAGATGGGATCTCGAGACTGGCCACGGATACCATGTGGCTTCTGGGCAGGCCAGAACCTCTGGGCTCATCCATTTCCTCCACCCTCTGTCCAGAGCTGCCGGAGCCCACATGGCAGGGTACTACGGCGGGTGCACCCATGCCTTCTACTCCAATTCCACAGCAGAG